GGTCGTCCATTATTATTATTATTACACCAATCTTTACAGATACGGCGCCATTGGAACAGGTAGTCGACCACCATAGATTACGTTGGTTGGGACATGTGTTACGCATGCTACCTGATAGGTTGCGACGGTAAGCGACGTTTGCCGAGGCAGTCAGCGGTTGGAAAAAGGTCAAGAGTGGTCAAACGAAGACCTGACATCAGACTATGAAAACCCTAACCAGGAGACTGGGTCACGTAGGGCTCCGTGGCTGGGGACCCCGAGATGATGGTCACCGATGGTTAGGTACACTGAGTGATATGGCTGGGGGTCGCNGGCTGGGTGTCGCAGTAGCGCCTATGCATTCATTCATTATTCCCCTAACACCACTCCAAATGAATTCTCTATCTTCCGCTTAAATATGCCTTCAGCATTCAAATCTTCATCCTGTTCTTTTATCCAAGTGGACGGCCAAAAGACAGCAACCAAAACCGGCGCACGAAAGTTCATGGTTAACGGTTGTAAAAATTGAAAACTAATACGCTATCGCACACACGAAGCGGATGTTCTCATCCTTGGTACGTCCCGAAACGCAGTTGGCCCCGGAAGTAAGAAGGCTATGATAATTGTATCATGGGGAAGACAAAATGAGCGGCACAGAGTGTACCGGCCGTGTGCGCACTGCCACGTTTGACCCTGATGCAAAACACAACTAATTAACTGCTATCAAGGGTTGCTATCATCGCATCTGCGATTGATTGACTCACCGTTCGGATGGTCGATGTACTACCGCACTTCCACCTGTTTCATGAGAATGGATACTGTCGAGAATCTGTTTGCGCTGTTAGTATAGTGTGCCGGTTTCACCCCAGCTCGCCTCGGTGGTTTTGTGGTTAGCTAATACAATACTAAGATTCTTCCGTTGGAGGCCTCTGAGGTTTGGCTATGTAGACTACCACTATTCTGTTCATCATATTGCGGTATGTTNATATATATATATATACTCCACTGAATTTATGAATCGCTTCTCTTGCCTCGCATTACAAGGTGCAACAGCCGAAGCATGCAGTTCCTGTATGCCGCAGTCGTGCAAGACGAGGTTGTGGGTTATCTCTCATTTTGCGGATAGTGATGTTTTGTTGAAACAAGTAACGGCTGGGAAAACGTTAAAGGTCGATAAAATATAACCTGGTGGCAAAAAACAAAACCCTAACTACTGAACTTAGTCACGTACATTGAGCGAGGCTTCCCGATCGGGGCAACGGAAATTACATGAAGTAATGGTCAGAGAGAGAGCGCGATTATGGAAAACAGTGGCGCTGGTGCGTCTTTTTTATTACACACCCACGTGTGATGAATAGCAGACGGGGCGAACCCCATAGTTACGAGGACCTGTTGTTTAATGATGGAAACCGGCAACCTAAGCCCAGGGACTTGGAGTGGCGAAGCACATAAGGCCCCGATAGGTTAGGCGTGGTATAGAACCGGACGACAGCAAAGCTGCCTACCGCCAAAGTCGGGTAGCGCTGGCGGGGTTCGAAACTCAGGCCATAGGGTACTAAGCACGCAGGTGACAGTGACTAAACCACTGCGCCACCACCCTTGTTATAGACACGTGTATTTTATTCACATCCCATCACTTTATTTTGATATTAATCTCATGCTTCTCTTTGTCCTGTCTCACTTTCTTCTTCTTCATTGGTTGAGCTATTAGGTCACTTATTTTGGAGAACCTCTTTTCCATTTGTTCAGTTATTCCTCTCATTCCCAAATCTTAGGAGACACATCTTTTTCGCGCCACCCATGGGGTATCATTCAGCGTTCAACTAGTAAGGTCAACCGACCGGAAGCGAACAGATTTGTGAAGCAATTCAAGAGTATAGAAAGACAAGGCTATTCGTTGACGAAACTGAAGACGAGTTTATCCCCCGCTATCAATCTACTTCAGTTGTGGTTACTGGTTGCTCGCACTCATCATTTAACGAAAGCTTTACATGCGTTTAGCGATTTTCAATATCAAAGTCGTCATTTTCAGTCAGGTGGTTCAAGCCACAGCACAAGTGAATCTCGCTAAAGGAAATAACAATTGAAAAACTATAAATAACTACTAGTTATGATTTCCATACTCCTGCGCTTCAACTAACCACGTTCGATATGTTTTTCAGTTGGATAATTTTTAGGCAAAAAGCTGTTACAGTACAGCTACTGAGACTTGTACAGACACGTGCTAAATATTACAATGGCAAAACAATACAGCTGGGTGGAATTTAAAACCATTGGCCAGAATCAATTTTAATATTTGACCACCCAGAGCTCAGGCAGAGGGCTTATCGTATATTGCTGTTATAGCTTGCATTCGAGTTCCATTTGTTTGACAAATGCCAGAGAAAGGAACCGGTTCGCTTGAAACCGCCCCAAGCGTTCAAAAAAGTACGAATTCTGATAAGATTTCTAATGAAATATTATTCTGATAATCAAAAAAGACGACCGAAGCGAAATACAACCATCCAACACCGACCGTTGGATCTTTGATTCATGCTGAGGGACAAACAAGGGCGCAGTGAAAGGGGAACAAAACGAAACATGAAAATGTGTCCTCAAAAAGTACTTCAAACATATGTTGATAGCGACCGCAGAATCCAATCAACGAACATAATGGGCCAAACAGAAGAAAAGATAATGAGAACGAAGTAAAACGCAGTAAACACCGGTTGGCACCGAGATATTGGCAACTGGAAACAATGGCTGAATGGTGTATGGGGGGGGGGCAGGCGAAAAATGGGGCAATTCAGACAACTTTTCTCCGTTTTGTTTCAATTGTTACTTCAATTCGAAAACAAGGGAGGCTGGATTCTCCAGATAACTGGCCCATAATCGAGAGAAACGAGTCACTGTAGCACCATCGATAATTCGATGATCTGCAGCCCAACTGGCAATCAATATGTGGCCAACGCGGACGTTTCCATGTTCGTCGAATCGTGGAAGGCGCTGTGCAATGGATGGACAAAATACAATTTAAGGCACGACGATGAACATTTTGTAATAATCGATGTTTTAGTTTCAAGCGGATATTCTAGAAAAAAACCAAATAACCAGACTGAATTAAATTGTCGAAAACAGTGATTTCTCAGAATAGTTAATCAGACTGAGCATCAGATTAAATAAAAGAGTTTTATTTCTCCAATTAAATTTAACTTCAACCCCATCAGTTATTACTATAACTATGGAACGCGCTTGGTATCAATATCATTCTCTCATTCTTTGTTCCTAAATTTTGACTAGCATGTTCATAATTACCCATACGAGTTATTTTTAGTGTGGGACGATGTCGTGACAAACAGATATAGGAACAACGGATCGTTCGAAGTTTGCGGGAGCAACGCGCTTTCCCGCACTCTTGAGCAATCCAGACTATCTGTAACGGGTAATTGACTCATTTTCTGCATTCTGGGACACAATGCATGGCTTCAGTGACTATTCTGAGGATCGATGCCCTCACTATGGTCACTAGTATTGGAAACAACCGGTTGACTGCGTCACAAATCTCCATATTAGGGCTGTTATGCCATTATCTTGATCAACAACCGCCTCGTATGCTCTTCGGGAACGTCAAACTGCACGGACACTTTTCACTTAACCGATCCATCTCATTTGCTCCAATCCTCGTGAATGACTTGAAAACTGTAGTTTTACACAGTTCAACATATGAAATTAACATTGGTGAAGAGCAAACTAACGTTCAACGAGAGCATTATTCGACCCATCAGGTTTAAGTCACGAATGCTGTTCACGAAATTGAATGTCCCATACACTAAGTTTCTCTAATCCAATTCGAACGGGCTCTAGTAATTTAGCCAGCTATTTTGCAAAGGCATAGGATGTCCGAACTACGCATACTCAGATCTTAGATAACGCACTCTCCATTTGAGCAGTTTTATTCTTTTCGGTTGTTTCGGTGAATTTCGACCTGCCACAGGCTCCATCTTTTCCATGTAATCCGTTCGGGTTAGAAGCACGAAACCTGCCCCATTGTCCAGTTTATATATCATGATTTGATGATACTGAAAATCGGTTCTCGCAGCTCGACTGAACTGGATTCCATTTCGCCTGTTCGCCGAGCTTGACAATTTGTTTGCAAACGTTTTATCACCATGCGCGGTGACATCATCAGTGCTTGTGAAGTGGCCTTCACTTCACAAGCACTGATGATGTCACCGCGCATGGTGATAAAACGTTTGCAAACAAATTGTCAAGCTCGGCGAACAGATAAAATGGAATACCATCACTTCTTTGTAGATAGCATGCTTTGATAACAGCTTTTCAAACTCCGAACTCAAAATCAACATTATCAAAAAAACGAACCTGGATGCGGCCGAGTCCACCGATCAACACTTCCGGAGGGAGTATTCGTGGTTTTGTGACGGTTCCTCCAATCTGCCAAAAACGGGAAACAATGAACGGTTTTACATCCTTAAAGAAAGCTTCTAGATGGGAATGTAACGATTGATAAGGCAAGTGAATTATCGCTTGTTTGGGAAACACCAATCTTGTGGTTGGCGCTGTTGAGATTCCAACATGAAACAAACAAGAATATATTTTTTTCAGTACAATTTTATCAATTTCTGAAACGGTACGTTTTTATCGCTCAGTGTTTAGCCACGCTCGCGGAAAACAGTTCACATGATTTAACGTCCTGTGCAACTGGGTTGTTGCGTACATTGTAACCTTGATTAACTAATGCACATGCTGCTGCCGAAGAGCATTAGTTACAAAGTTGTTTGCATTCAATGACTCGTCAAAGCAGATTAGAAGATTGGGAAAGATCTACCCAACCGAGTCGCAAAGGGACAGAAAATTATCCATGGTAAACAGTGGGAACGCTCAACCTGATAATGATCCGGCAATGATATGCGCGCGTGATTGACAGTACGCTCTCAGATAAAACATGAATCTACTCAGAGTTCATTGTTGGAATATGCAATTAGAACCGTGATCAATATACCATTGCACAAACTGAATATTGGACAATAAATTAATGCGAATCAACTCGAGCAAATAGAGGCTGACGGTGAAAGATAAGTGTCTTTCAAGACTGGTGTGATGGAATTGACCGACAGTCACGACGGACAGTTGTTTGAACAAAATGCTCAACAATCATGGCTGCATTCCATTTTATTTGTAGTGTCGTGAGGTACTACTCACAAATGTGAGTAGTAGGTAACATAGTTGATGATTTATTTTAACGATCAAAACTCAACAAGATCACCGAGGGCAAATTGCTGTGTCTCAAAGAGCAACTATAGATTGATACATCCATGACCCGTTGTGCAACCAGAAACTGCAGTGGTGTTTCTGATGAGATTTATGTTATGTATGCCAAATTGGTGATGTCCCATCTGTAAACCTCAGTAACAAACTGTCCTCGACTGAGCACCGCCTTTGGAATTATAACAGAAGTAGATTTTTATTTCAGTGAAGAAAATGGCACTACAAGTTTGTTCGTTTAAATAACCCTTAGTTAGTTCAGACTTCCACGAGTAGGAGATTACCAGTGTAAATAAAAAAGGAAAAACACTAAAAAGGTAGCCTTGTAACAAATCGCATGTTCGAAATGTTGTCTAAGTTTTCGGATCTTTTTTCTCTGCTAATACTACTCTGTGGCGCAGGATGGGAAAGATTTTTCGTTGTTACAGGTATTGGGATCGTTTGCACCGGCAATATCGTCAATTAAAATTATCACGTAAACTGCACAGCACTTTCTGATACGCACAGAACTGACTAGAAAACAGGCAACAAAGACGGAGTGTTTGCCTCTTGTGTTTTCGATTCCGTAGATGGTGTTTAGACCGGTCAAATGCTTGAATATGCTGTTCCGTCCTTTATTGTCTACGCGACACAAAAGGCACACCGCCTAATGTCTTTTGTCGATTTGCCCAACAAGCTATTTCAGTCCAGTCAGTGGAACGAGCCCGACACCATGCGTCTCAGTCACGCGGATGGGACGTGTGGCAATGGGCACAACACGTTCATCAGAACGTTTGTGAGTGGTCGATGCCGCGACAGACCGGCAACCGAAATTCTGTCTCAAAGACCTACTACGGTAGTGGAACGACCTTGAATTAACAGTCTACCCAGACTGATCGGTAGTGGTGGCTACGGTCCGGGCGAGAGAGCAGACACGTGCCGCAGTGTTCGTCTATGTGTGACTAACCAGGACAGACAAATGGTGCGTCCAGTGCGCACGGGACAATGCTAGTATTGCGACTGCTGCTTGTAGCAGCGTCTATTCCGTAGCCTAAATGATCATATCTAGGCTAACGATGCATTTATCATTTTTTTACAAAAGTGGCTAGGCGGCTAAACAAGAGGAAAAAAGATAAATCACTACCAAGGTTGTAACTGTGCGCCTTAACATTGCTTTCTTTGGTTTCGTATGGTGTGTATAAATAACAATCAATAGAATCTCTGGAGAGCTAAGAAGAAACTCTGACGGGAGTCTCTCATAGTGTAATCGAGTGAAATACAAATCGATGAAAGCAGACACCACAAATTTGAATATATGCCATGGTAAAGGTATGCAAAAATCAATAAACAGGGCCGAGAAGTGTGCAGACCAGACCGAATTCAGCCACAGCTGTTTGACTAAGTTGAACGTATAAGGCCATGTTCACTTGTGCAGTGTTCGAAGATAAACAGATTATCCTGAGTGGCAAAGGATCTTCGAGCTGGATGTTTAGCTTCTGTTCATTTACTTAATGGGCTATGGAATATTTTCAGAACTGCAATCGAATTAAATGAACTGCGGACCTCAAAGCCATTATTAATCACATCAGTCCTACTCCCAAACTCATGTTTCAGGTCAATTTGCACTTAGTTACACAATCATCAAACCGGTGTTTGAATGTAACCGTTTCTAGCAAGTGGTAAAACCAACTGAAAAATAAAAAGACGAGATAAGTGAAGTAACACAGCGTATAAGATAACAAAACAGATTGGAACATAAATATTATGTAACACGCCAATTCATCCTACTTGGAGCTCCTAATCGAAAACCGAATGAAATATTTGGATTTGAAACGAGTAGTTCGGAGTCCGGAACGAAATACCGTCAATATTGAGAAAAGCCTCCGAAAAATTTAGTATGGTCGGGCCGTAGCTGGCCATCTTCCTCTTTCATCTCGCAAAATGCCCTCACACAAACAAACGTCTCAAATAGCTTACGATGAGGAAACTCTACTCACTACTTTCTCCTGGCGGAGGTGTTTTCCCACCAAAGTGAGAGGATGAAAAGCCACAGTCGGGTTGGTGAACTGGCAGTTCAACTAGGGGAGTTTGCTAAAAACCCTGATTCCAAACGAACCAAGAAGAGGTGTAAAAAACCAGTCACCCAAATCTCGGTTGTGGCGGTTTTCTTCGGATAGATTGGGCATCACGGTGCATCGGGCACCTTGGACATTTGACCCCATCTTTCTACTTCCTTTTTATTTATTGAATATAATGGTCATCTGCTTTGGTTCGGGCAATACAACAGTATTCCGTACACGAAAGGATTGGTTGGTTCCACAGATAGTTGCACCAGGAGTTGCTAGAAACGCAGATATGTGATGATAAATAGATATATAGATTAGATTAGACAGATAAATATCCCACAACACAAGTATTGCCCCTCCCCTAGATTTTTAAATTAACTGCGATCCCACTTGCTAGCGCAGATTTGACACTGACAGCAAGATGATGGTCTACTGATTATCAATAGCTCCTTTCAGTCATCAACGCTCACTTGGTGATATGTATCCGATAAGTCAAGCTTGGCGAAATAAGTATCACCATTCAGTCTTGCGAAGATGTCTTTTGATACCGGAAGTGGGTACCAACGATCTTCTAGCGAGGCGTTCAGAACTGTTGCCGTTGGGTCTCCTGACGACCAAAATAAGAGCCGTTTATGATGAGTAATTGACCGGCTTTGGCTGACTATCTGCTTAAAAAGCCGCGACGACTGAGCGTGCTTCTGAGAATCGCTTGATGAACTTCCTGTGAACCGCTTTCTTCTGATTGGTTTCAGTGCGGGCCCGTTTGTAGCACTTTTGACAGATGTATTTTTTGAAGGGACAAAAACGTACAAAATACCATTCGCCACATGACAAATACACAGAGGACAGTTTACTGGTGGGGCGTTTCAGGGACTTGAAATTCGTCACAGATGGCTGATTCTTTGGGCAATGAACGTCAGATATGAAAGTCTTCCGTTCGACCAACGCAACATCGTCACTCAGAGGGAGAGGTTTGCACTGGGCCATGAGAGACTTCAGGTTCATATCCGGGTCCTGATCAAGCCTGGATAGCAAACGGGTACGCATGTCGGCATCTTCTAGATTCTACAGTGCTTTGATGAAAACGAGANTGCTTTGATGAAAACGAGACATTTTAGTTGGTCATCGGTCAATGAGTGAAGTTTGAACCGTTCGCACTCACGGTCGACTCGGTCAGCAAGCATATCATAATCCTCTCCATCCTGTTTGCCAATTTTTAAACACGTATCCGAAACTGAACAACGGAGCTGACTCACCAAAGATTTCTGAAAATTGTGCTACCGCTTAGTCGAATTTCAAATCCTCTGTTTGTTCGGGAAGAACAGGGTCAACAAAACTGGTGTGCATTGGTTACTAGTTTCCGGACAAGTAGGCGAACTTTCCACACATCGTCTTGACAACTGAAATCTGTTCGGAACATCTTTTCCCAGCGTTTAAACCACGCCTCGAAAGTGTGACCAGCTTCAGCTTCATAGTTGAATTCAGTGATTGAAATAGCNACTACATCGATTGTTTGCAGGTTAAGCCGCTGCATCAATCACTTGATTAGTTTCATTTGAGCTTCCATCTGCTACTGTTGCTGCATTAACAGACCCTGGAACTGGTCTGCCGAAACATTCAATGAAAATTCCAATTTTCCCCTGGCCATTATTTTATTACACATCTAAGTTTGATGAACGGCAGACGGGGTTAACCAGATAGTCACGAAGACCTGTTGTTCAATGATGGAAACCGGCAACCTAAGTCCCGTTACTTGGAGTGGCGAAGCACATAATTCCCCGCTAGGTTAGGCGTGGTATAGAACCGGACGACATCAGAGCTGCCTACTATCAAAGCCGGGCGACGGTAGCGGGGCTCGAACCTCGGACCACTGGGTCCAAAGCATGCCTGTGACAGCAACTGAACCACTGCGCCACCACCACCCAAACGGTTTGTGTCGAGCCAAAAACAATCACTGAACCTGGTCCCACGATACGTATCCCAACGATCTCAGTTAAAAACCTTTATTGGTAGTGACAACGAAAGGTAGATTGAAAAAAGACGAAACATGCGGTATATGTGGCTGATCACAGTGTAGTTACTTGTCCGGAATTGGGGCTACGAAGGCGCCCATGGAGAGAATGCACGATTGCTCATCCAGAACCCTTGAGACATATTTTCACAGTGGCGGCTGATGCCGATCCATTTCAAATGCAAACCGAAGAAACTCTCAGGAGAAAGTTGAGTTTCTCCTGACAAACAGATCAAATGCTTTCTATCGGTTTAAAATCTGGGCTTCGTGCATACGAAAAAAACAGGTCTTTTTCTTTCTTTTTTATTTGTTGAACATACAAGTGTACAGTCAACTTTCAGGAAGGGGGCTGCGGCCATAGAAAGGCTGTGTGGGGAAAATACAGAAATAGGAAAGACGGGCGGTGGTGGAGCGGCTTGAACCCGGGATTTCCGGGTCACAATTTGGTGACCTAACCACTTGGCCATCACCGCAGGCCATATCATTGTGTTGATACCACGGAACTAGGACCAGCATTTTGCTAGGTACGAGTGATGAACCACGGCGATATTGTGCTCGAAAATGGTTTCAGGATGAGCATTCGATGCAATCGCTGGCATAAGGTGCCACTCCAGTGTGAGAATATGCATCAGAATCCTGCACCGTATGCAGTATAGTGAGTTCGGCCGGGACGTTGATTGATAAGGAACTCGGTACAATCATGGAGTTTTGGTCGCTGATTCGCTTAATGAAGTACCGCTCTTTCCGCAGATCATGCCAGTAGTTACATGCTTCCGGTTTATCCACATTTCTTCCGTTTTTCGGAATTCCATGAGTCTCAGTTCACAATAACTTTTTTCTTTATAGGTTGTTCGCGATATGCGCCTTTTCATTTGCTTGTATTTCATCGAAGGGACTGCTTCAAGTGTTTGTTGTATCGTTTGCACCGAAACGTTCAATTCAAGCATCATTGCCATCTCATTCGCATGACGCACGGAGTTTGAAGGTAGGGCTTAGGAATTGGTTCGAAGCATATTGAGCATGATTGGTATGAACAACAGAATATGGAGGTTTTTTATGATAGACTAAAATTACTGGTAGACAGAGCGAAGAAGACACTCTTCGGTCGAGTAGCAGCAGAAATTTCATGCGTCACCACGACTGCCTTGTAATCATAAAAAGCAACAATTATCACACACTATGGAAGTAATACGATCAAATGATAAGCGACACACAAAACTTACACTTCCGATATTAGAGAGCGTGACTGTGCCGCCTTTCAGATCATTTGGACCCAGTTTACCTTTAGCACCTAACTCCTGTAAACGTTTCAGTTCCTGACCGATCTGAATGACCGACAGCTGCTCGACCGATTTGACATTGGGGACAATTAATCCCTCTGGAGTGTCCATTGCAATGCCAATATTGTGGGATGCCTTCGAACAGGTTGAGAAACAACCCGAATGAAAGAGATAGAAACGACATTAGGCTTGCTCTCAAATAGTAGAGAGGAGAAATAAAGTAGACATGTAAAATGGTGCTAAACTGTGACTGTTCAGTGCGACAGTCGCACATCATGTGATAAATTTAAGCAAGCGAAAACGTTCGCTACTAACCGAGCCATGAGACAGGGTCAAACGATCAGGACATAAGGGCCAATCCGAACTGGTCGATAACCACACGTGTAAACACGAGCGCTTCATCTTAGGTCACATTACTCCATACATGAAGTGTTAATGTGCAAAACAGTTTGGGCCCCAGACTCTATGGCTAGTATTCTAAGGGCAAAGCCAAGCGCTAACGAAACAAGCAACACCCTTAATACTGCGGGTAATTTATCTATTGAGCAGCATAGTATAAAGCGCTGACCAGCGTTTACTGGTGAAATTTTAAATTCGGGAACGATTACTGTATGAAACGATGTTTGGCACATAATGTTAACATCACCGGTCGCAGGTGATCGAGTACTGCTGACAAACATAAGTGTAGTGGTGTCAGGGAAGCTCGGTGGAATGTATGACCGATTCAATCGGCGTTCAACTGGAAAACTGGAAAATTAACAATCAAACCAGTGATGACCACCACCCTACCCCGCGTGAAGGCGAGTTCAACGCATCATTTTAAATCGGCAAGCTTGAATGTTGCAGCTTTGGGGGCTGATCACCAGCGAGAGTCACTGAAAGATTAAACCAGAATTATCAAAACAAGGTCGACATAAAACATGATTAAATACCTTGATGAAAAAAGGGAACAGATGCACAATGGTACACTTAAAGACATGTGCAGCGATGGCAGCAGTCAGACGGATTTCATCTCTATCAAATCGTCCAGGGGGTTGGGTTTAAACCCCATCATCACCATCTAACTGTTCCCCTTTTCTTTGTATCACACCAAAGCCATTTGATTGACCGTTTCTCTACTCTGGAAGATTGCTTGTACAATTACGAAAAGAAAAAAGTTAGTTTTACCTTAAAGTGTCATCTAAAAGCACCTATAACAAGCAACCTTGGCTGCTCGGTTCCCTGCAGGGTAATCCAACTGTATTTACTTGTCCTCGACTGAGCGAGAACAAACAAATTCGTCATATCAGAAAAGTCTTACTTTGTAAATTATTTTTTCGCATTTCTCATCTGTGTGGGCGTTCAGCAGTGGGTATTCGTGCAAAGCGAGGGACGCAGCCTGTGAACGATAAAAATGTGAGTAATCGAATATGGGAATAGATTAAAATAGATCAAAGTGCAATTCATGAAGATAAATATAATTATGGGAGTTTTTATCCATAGTAGCCAGTGTGACATATTGATATAACAGGGTTGTCACTGGAAAATGCAAAACGATTTCTACGGATAATGACATACTACGAGATCTCGAAGCTGGTGGTCCCTTCCTTAGGCATTTTTATTTCTAACTTACTTATTTTATCAACTGAAATACCTCTGCATTTGTTTGAGCCCCAAATCACGATAAACTTATGGAGTTGTTGGTTTTTTATTGTGGTATCCTATATCGATTTTCATTTATGTAAATCAGATACGACTTCATTTTTGCCACTGAAATGAGCAGAAACGGGTGTGCAGACAAACAAGTAGAAGAAAATCGCGACTCATGTTCCTCCTAGCTTGTCTCTATGAGCTGCAAAGTTATGCCGGATTCGATCCGATGACTTACTACCACGGATTGTCTCGTCTATACGCGTGAAAGTGGACTGACCACCTCATTAAATCAATTCTGGTACAATTACAACCAATTATTCAGTTTTGTGCACTCACGTAGTCACTTATTTCACATTTGGTTTTCCCCACAGTATTTTGAACAGCAGTTAGACTATTCAAACTTTTCGTCCCATAAAAAAAAACAATACAAACGTAATTCATGTCACGATGTAGCGGAAATTTTGAGCACAAATCCATGTGGTTCAGAGGTACTCCATTGGCAAGAACGAGGCAAAATAGGACTGTAACCAAGAGCATGCACTCGATTGAGAGAAAACATGATAACATCAATAAATACACACCCTGGCGTCCATGATCTTGCAGAGGCTAAGTCACGTATTCAATATTTAATGTTGTGCAATAATATAACATCATGAAGAATAACGTATCGTAGTGCGGTATGCTGAATCATGCAATAAAGTTTTATCGAATTAAGTCTCCCAATGTACCGTAATATTACTGACAGGGTTGTCCTCTCTACATTTCTGTTTAAATTTGTTATAGATTTAATTCTTGGAACAGCCCTATCCTCGTGCGAGGATAGCAGCATCGATTTACCCCCAGGTGGCAGACTGTCTGACCTAGAGTATGCAGATGGCACTATGCTACTAAGTGAAGATTCAGGTAAGTTGCAAGATTTTCTGGATAGTTTGAGTGCTAGTGTTGCCATGTTCGGTATGCGTTTTGCACCTTCAGTGTAAAATGCTGCTCCAAGATTGGGTTGGCCCAGTCCCCAGCCTCACTCTGACCGAGGAATTTGTAGAGGAAGTAGACACGTTTT